CTGTCCAGGCTTCCATCTGATGGCCAACCTACCTCTAATGCTGGCCAGTCTATTTCACACAAAGTTATAAGTTTTCCTGGTGTCACAGTAACACCATCATCTCCCTTAAATCCTTTCTTGAAATTTTTCAACATAGTTCCTAGCAGAGTGGGCTTTCTCTGTGCCTGACCCATGCTTCCTCGAGACGACACACACACACCACAAAACAAAGAATGGGCAAAAAGGGCACACACACACTTCTATGGTTTACACCAAACCAGAATCAAAACCAGAATCAGAGTATCAAGAAATCCAAGCCAGCTCAAAACCAAAATCGAAGTATCGAGCAATCCAAGTCAAGTCAAAAACAAAAACCAAAGGGCCAGTACAGGCAAGCCGTGGGTGATCAGGCCACGCTTCCACTCAAATGGAGTGAGCAAGTTTCAAAGACCAGTCTTACCAACTTTCAGATGTCCAGACTCCAAGTGCCAGTTCCTTCCCGGTGTTCAGCCACTGCGCTGATCCTCCGCAGGGGCCTGCCATGTGCTGCTCTGGCGAGGCGGTCCACTGGGGCAACTGCCTACCAGGGAGCACTCTCAGGATCTGCGGCGCTCAAGCTGGCCGGAGTCCCCCGCAGGGATGCTCCACAGGGCAGGCCTAAGCCGCCTAAGGGGGTTGCCTCAACCCTCCGTTAATCACCTCGCTTCCTGGTCAGGGAACCAAGAAATGTAGCAGGACGAGCCACAGACAAAATCCCTCAGACACCGAGTTAAAGAAGGAAGGGCTTCATTCGGCCACGGGCATCGGCAAGCCTCCTGTCTCAAAAACCGAGCTCCCCGAGTGAGCAATTCCTGTGCCTCTTAAGAGCTTAAAACTCTAAGGGGGTCCACAGGCACTGGTAATCACAACGGAACAGAACAGGACAGGGATTTTCCCAGTGCTTTTCCACACAGTGTCTATAATCTATAGATAACAGAACCGATTAGGTCAGGGGTCGATCTTTAACTACGAGGCCCAGGGTGTGGGGCCGGGCTGTCTGCCTGTAGATTTCATTTCTGTCTTTTAGTCTTTACTTCTTTCTTTGGAGGCAGAAATTGGGCATAAGACAATATGAGGGGTGGTCTCCTCCCTTATTAGCATTACTGAGTTTGCCTCTTGGTGAAGGCAGGGCCCGTAGACCTCCACTGTAAAAGCAGCTTTCCCTATGACATTAAGAAAGAGCATTGCCTAGATCTATTGTGATTACGGTAATGGTAAATTCTGAATATTTTTAATATTAACTAGGGAAAAGATGCCCCACTCTGTGACTTTATCATAATATTAAGCAGTCAGGGAGCACCCTCAGCAGACACGGCTGATCATCCTCAAGAAAGGACTATTAAAATTACTTATCATCAGAAGTCAGAGGAAAACAGAACAATGTAAGGAAACTTTAAACAGATAAATTAAAAAATAAACTATGAGTCCAATCTCATTTCTTCTACCTTCATTCTTTCTTCTATCTTCAGTTTCAATTCTTTTTCAAATCTCTTTCTAGATAACAACTAAATCTCATTAACATAAGGTTTAGGGCAGGCGCGGTGTCAACACTGTCAACACTTGTCTCTATAAAAAAAATTAAAAACTAAAAGATCATACAACAATGGACTGAGACTCCAGGAACAAGCTGCATCGTCACTGGCTTGTGTCCTCTGTCAGAAAAAGCAAGCATCTAGGTCCACTTTTTTTTTTTTTTTTTTAAGATGGAGTTTTGCTCTGGGCTGGCCTGCAATAGCATGACCTCGGCTCACGGCAACCTCCACCTCTTGGGTTCAAGTGATTCTCCTGCCTCAGCCTCCTGAGTAGCTAAGATTACAGGCTCTGTAATCTGTAGTGTAATGCACCACCATGCCCGGCTAATTTTCGTATTTTTAGTAGAGATGGGGTTTCTCCATGTTGGTCAGGCTGGTCTCAAACTCCCGACCTCAGGTGATCCACCCACGTCAGCCTCCCAAAGTGTTGGGATTACAGGCGAGAGCCACTGCGCCCGGCCCCACTTATTTCTGTTGATTTGACTTTTCTTAAAAATAACTTTCATTTCCCCTGGAAGTACTGAATGTGAAGTATTAATGAGGGTCTGATTCAAACAGAAACATCTATTGTTTGTCACTTTCTACTCTGAACTGCCCACAGCCAGCCAGGAATCTGTGCTTCACAAACTGCCAGCTTTACAACTGTTTCCACAGAGGAAGAAACACACAAGGACAAAAGCACATTCGCCGTCTGGATACAGCGCAGTAGAAGTAATCAGGGTTTTGCCTCAGAGTAGGTCTGTAACTTTAGGAACTTGAGGTCTCAAACACAAGGCATCTAAATGCAGGAACCACACCACCACTGCTGAGCCACATTTGACCAAACTAAAGCACTTCTGAACAGAAGACATCAGATCTCTGCAAGGCTTTGCCAGAGAGGAGTGGCAACAAAGCTCACTTTAAAATAAAATCTATTAGCATGCACAATTTAGAACTCCCTGAAATAAAGAATTTCAAAAGCCTGAGAACTTCATCACTCTGTTAACTAAATATAGAATGACATTTTGCTCTACAGTCCTAGAAAGGCAGTAAGGCGACCTGTCAGAGTAACTAAGACAAACACTGGTCAGTAATGAGGCATGATGTCAAATGCCCGTCTTTCCAGCTACAAACTATTTTTCTCCCTTTCTTTTAATAGTAATAGGCAACAAGCAAATAACACAGAACTTTTTTCAGCTAAAACAAACAAACGAACAACACTAAAATATAACTAGCCTCTTGTCAGGTGAACTGACAATCTGTATTTAGTATAATCAACTTCAATTTTTACAATACAATCATCCTACAGTGAAAATATTCTAATTCCTTTTTCTTTCATCCATTAGTCTGATTTTTTAAGCATTACTTGTGATTAAGATCTTCATTTAGAACAAATCGACTTTCACATTTTGAAGGAGCTAATAAAAACCTCAAGGACCTGTCCATTTTAAATTCTCTCCGTGATGCTATGACAGAATTGACACAGTGGTCGTGGCAGGCAGTAGTGGTGGTCTGGCAACCAGATTCCTATGCTAACAGCCCCAAAGCAAGGCGTAATGGGGAAGGGTATTATTTTAAAGTTGACAGTTGTACCACCATGTTTACGTATAAGCATTTTGCAAAAAAAGAGGGGGGAAAATAAAACTAACAAAGTTGCATTTTACAGAGGATGGCAGAGCATCACCCACAACTGCTTTAGGTGCCACACAGCACTGAAGAAATCTTAAGCATTATTAAGATCATTAGATCATTCTGGGTCTACTTTTTCAGTTACAGAACTTTTGCCAAAAAGAATAAGGAAAAGTAAAAGGAACAAAAATATTATTCTTAACAACCTAAATGAGAATCTCATATTCAATTAATTAAAAGCTTGAATTTCTCCCTCTCAGGCCAGCCAGGAGGCTGAATGCCTTGCCTTACATGGCAACCTGACGAGGCCAAAGAAAGAAGCACTTTTCATGTCATCGTTCACAGACTGAATCACAAAATCCTCCATGACTCAAAAAAGAAAAGTTAATACGTAGAAATCCATTCATTACACAACAGGGCTGAATGCCTACAATAACTTTTGATCAAAATGGTAACTTTATGTTCTGTGAAAAAACCAAGGGCAGTTTTGAAGACTTCTATAAATATTAAACATGTCCAAAAATGTCATTAATAAACCAAGAAACACTTCCATACAATATACACCTAAAGAATCTTCTGCAAGTAAAGATACAATTCTTAGAGAAAATGATATGCAACAAAGAAGGATATAATTAAATAACAGGAACATAATGTAAAGATACAAAGTGAAACAGAACAGCATCAATTACACAAGGTGAAAAAAAATCCTGTTAGAAATTTTGTCAAGAAACTTATGTGATCCTGTGTTCCCAAAAATAAGTAGTTTCTATTCCATCACCCTGGAAGAGCTACTTACAGCTTAGTCTGCAATGGGCTGCTTCTAAGGAGTGAGCTTTATGTACAACACTAACCATAATTGGTTAATGTCTTGATATCAAGCCGTTAAATATAATCAAGCACCGAAAACCACTCAACTCTGGAAAGTATAAAGTAATTCTCAACCCATCAGGAGAGTTTACTGAAGTGTCCAAGTCCTCCCTGCACACCAGGCCCAGACACAGGGGAACGGGCACTCGGGCGACTAGCGGCAGAAACGGGGAGTCACTGGTCCTCCTGCGCCTAAAGCAGTGGGAAGCAAGTAACTTGCCTTATTAAGTAAAAGGGGAAGGCACAGTATTAATAAGACAGATGCACTTAAAATTGTATGTTTCAAACACTGGGAGGCTAGACCTACCAGATTCACTTCTGATCAGAACATGAGACCTTTCCTTGACACTTACTGGACTTGAGTAACGTCAATGCAAACAGATTAGCTGGGCTTTGGGAAAATCTTGCAAATTTCCCACCAAAACCACACATATGGCAAAACAGATATCTTTTCATATTTATGAACATTCTAAGAAATATATAATTACGGAGTCATGGTGCTGCCAAATTTCTGAAATTTTATTTTATGTCTGTGCTCTCCTGAATGCCAGGATGAGATCTGCATAGAGCAGAGTGTATGCTTTGAGATCAGACACACCTAACTGGGTTTTTAGTCCAGGCACCACTTCTTAGCAGCTGAGTTATTTTGGAAAAAGCTGAACTATTTTTACTCTCCTTGCCTAATAATCTGCTTTTTCACTCATAAAATGGGTGTAATTGTGTAACTTGCTTTATATGGTTGCTGGGACGATTAAATAAGATGAAACAGTTAAAAATTACACCAGATGCTTGCTCCAAACAGGAAGCAAATATTAGCTATCATTATTAAAATGTGAAAAAAGCTATGAAAAACAGTTATCCTCTATGGATGAAACACATTAAAGCATTTAAAAATCTAAAGCTATCATTAGTACAATTAAAAAGATTCATATTCTAGTAAGACAGGGAAAGACATTCGACTAAGCAAAAACTTACTTCAAGGCCGCATAATAAAATGTTCCAAACCAAACACCAGAAGTTACTAGATGCACTGGAATCAGAACTTTTCCATACTGTCTAAACGTCTTCTTGAATCGCTGATAAAGGCTAATAGATTTGTCTTGCAAAGGATCAGGCTCCTCCTTTCTTTCTGGAGTTCCCTGAGCTGTGGCACTGGATGAAAAAACCCTCTTGAACGGAACATGTTGCTTTCCTTGCTTGTGGCGAAGGACTCCTGGTTGGGGGGAACGAGCATCCAATGGCCTCCTTTCCTTTGCAACACACTGGGCAGCAGATAAATTCAACCATTGTTTTTGAGGGCCTTGTAGCAAAACCACTTTGGATTCAGCATTGTACAGAAGTAAAGGTCCCTTTACATTTTGACAGCGTCCAAAAAGGCCAGCGTTATGTGGCTCCAAGCATGTCCTGCGTGCCAGCCGAGATACAGTCCGTGGTACATTCCACTGCATTTTGAAGAGTGTTGATAGGTTTCAGCTTCTATAAAGACAATTGTTTTAAAAAATTAGGTAATACTGAGGCTTCCATTTTAAATCAATTCATTTGAAAATCAATCATTAACCATCAGGAAGTAAAAAGAGACACTGCTACATACTCCACAAAAACTGATGTTAGTGTGTACAGTTTAAGCACAGTGTAATTTTTAAATCCCATAAAGGCCAGGTGCGGTTGCTCACGCCTGTAACCACAGCACTTTGGGAGGCCAAGGTGGGTGGATCACCTGAGATCATGAGTTCCGAGACCAGCCTGGCCAACAAGGCAAAACCCCATCTCCACTAAAAATACAAAAATTAGCCAGGTGTGGTGGTGGGCACCTGTAATCCCAGCTACTCAGGAGGCCAAGGCAGAAGAATCACTTGAACCCAGGAAGCAGAGGGTGCAGTGATCTGAGATCGCACCACTGCCCTCCAACCTGGATGATAGAGCAAGACTCCATCTCAGAAAAATAAAATAAAATAAGCCAGGTGCGGTGGCTCACGCCTGTAATCCCAGCACTTTGGGAATCCGAGGCAGGCGGATTGCTTGAGGTCAGGAGTTCGAGATCAGCCCGGCCAACACGGCAAAACCCCGTCTCTACTAAAAATACAAAACTTAGCCGGGTACAGTGGCACGCGCCTGTAATCCCAGCTACTCAGGAGGCTGAGGCAGGAGAATTGCTTGAACCCAGGAGGTGGAGACTGCAGTGAGCTGAGATCGTGACACTGTACTCCAGCCTGGGCAACAGAGTAAGACTCCGTTTCAAAAATAAAATAAAATAAAAATCTCATAAAACACACCATTTAAATATGATACGGTAAACTAGTCCAGCTGACACCATGGGGAATAATGTTTTGAGGCCTCTTATTCTACAGAAACAGTGTAGTACAGTGTGGGAAAAAATAAGATCTGGGTTCTGATGCTTTGGGGATACAATTCCACATAATTCCCTTTCAGACTCCAAGCCCAGGTCCACTACTAAAATGAAGATTACTTACAGGATTGTTACCAGGAACTACACAAAATTTCTGATGTAAAGACACTTTTGTAAACTAATGAGCATCATAAGTGTTATTTATGATTACAAATGTTGAGATCTGATGAACAGTTGATATAGCATTATTTACACTATAATGCCTTCAGACTGTTATCAAGTTATAAATCACTTATGCTATTGAATGGCAAGAAGAGATAGCCTGGTATTTATTTTCTTCCCCACCCCATATCAATGGGGGAAGAGAAAAAAGTGTACGGTGACGTCTCACTATTTGATCCGGCATCGGCACAGAACAAAGATTTACAAGACAAACAGACACAGTGGCTTGGGCTTGTGGTTCCAGCTACTCGGGAGGCTGAGATGGGAGGACACGTGAGTCCAGGTATTTGAGGCTATAGTGCATTTGCGAACAGCTACTTCACTCCAGCCTGGACAACACAGCAACACTGCAAGTCTTTTTTTTTTTTAAAAAAAAAAAGAATCATAGAGACTTCCAGATAATTACTTAGCCTCTCTAGACAAAGGTTTTCCCAGTGGCAAATGCAACTACAGTAGCCACTGCCATATAGTCAATCAGTCCCCTTCCTTCAACATCAGGTGGTGCCTTCCCACTCCCAACGCCAGCTCTACCTTCTACTTCTAACGCGTTGAGAACAATTTAACTATATCCTAAATAACAGTGAGATCTGAATTAGCACCCCAATAAATTAGCACTCCAATAAATACAAACACTCCATCTTACATGAATATTCTTTATCTGGTGTACAAAGTTGACTGGCAAAATAAAAACTGTCATCACATAAAAACATTCGTTAGTAATTATCCACCAATAAAAATTAATCCCCTGACTCATCCCTCCCTAATGAAAAATTAACATCAGCGCCTAACAGACTCTCACAGATAATCCGACAACAGTACAAATGAGTTGATAAGGGAAACTACAAATCTTGCAAAATAAATAGGCCCCCAAGAAGTCTTTTAAAAAGCGATACTGGGCCAGGAGTGGTGGCTCATGCCTGTAATCTCAGTACTTTTTGGAATGTCGAGGTGGGCACATCACCTGGTGAGGAGTTCGAGACCAGTCTGGCCGATATGGTGAAAAATACAAAAAAAATTAGTCGGGCATGGCGGTGCACGCCTGTAATCCCAGCTACTTGGGAGGCTGAGGCAGGAGAATCACTTGAACCCCGGAGACAGAGGCTGCAGTGAGCCGAGATCGCACTACTGCACTCCAGCATGGGCAACAGAGTAAGACTCGTCTCAAAAAAAAAGAAAAAAAAAAAGTGATACTGGGGACTAATTTCAGACAAAGCAGACTGCAAACATTCTTTGATTATCAGAGTTAAAGAGGAGCGCTGTATAATAACAATAATGAAAAGAAGACATAACAATCCTAAACATGCATATACCTAACAAGAGAGCATCAAAATAAATGAGGTGAAAACTGACAGAACAGAAAGGAAGAAAGAAATCTACTTAGAGACATCAATACTCCAATCAACAACCTTGATAAACCCAGCAGGCAGAATGTCTGTAAGGATAGAGTTAAACTAAACAACAATGTTAATCAATTTTATCTAATTGACATTTACATAATACTACATTTAACAACAGCAGAATATACATTCCCCTCAAGTTCACATGGAACATTCTATAAGCAGACCCCATGCTGGGCCATCAAATATACTGTAACAAATTCTAAAAAATGAAAATCATGCAAAGTTATGTTCTCAAACTGCAACAGAAGTATACTAGAAACCATTAACATAAAGATAGCTGGGAACTCGCCCCAACCCCAATTATGTGGAAAATTAAACAACATACTTCTAAAAAAAAAATCTTCAAACTTCTAAGAAGAAATTTAAAAATACTTTGAAGTAACTGAAAACAAAAATACAACTTAACAAAATCTGTGGGATACAGCAAAGCAGAGCTTTGAAGACTAAACTTTGACCTTTTTCCTCTTGCCCAAATTCCTGTCTAACAGGTCTGGGGAGTCACACCCTGCAAACCATGAAATTTCATCAGAAGGGTTTTATTTAACCCTATATAAATGGCTGCTTTCCAACTGGACTCTGGCATAACATCACATGACAGATAAAGAAGGAAATCAAAATATTTTACCCCAAAACATGCTTCTTTGCCCTATTTTGAAATGATCCTGCAAAGCCTTTTTTAAACCGTATTTGTAAAGACTCTATTAACATAATCAGAACCCCGCTTCCAGGTCTTCTCAGTCCTGAAGTGGTTAACTGAGAGTCTAGCACCTTTTAAAGGTCTGAACCAGAAACATCTGTCATCTATTGTCTCTAAGGGCAGCCACCTTTGAGACTTCATCTAAGCATTAAGAACCTTGGTATCTACAACCCCTTATCTTAATTCAGACACTCTTTTCTATTGATTCCAGGTCTTTAGATAACTCTTCCAACCAATTGCCAATCAGAAACTCCTTTAATCCAGTGATGATCCGTATGTCCCCACTCTTAACTGTCCTGCTTTTCCACATGGACCAATGTATATGTACACCCGACCTATACCGATTGACGTCTTACGCCTCCCTAAACGTTTAAAGCTGTAACCCAGTCACCTTCGGCACGTGTTCTCAGAACCTCCTGAGACTGTCTCAGACCCTGGTCACTCACATTTGGTTCAAAATAAACCTCCTTAAACATTTCACAGAGTTTGACTCTTTCATCAACAGCTTACAGGAAGAATGCACATATTAGAAAAGAAGATCTATACTCAATAAGCTAAGTTACCTCCTTACGAAACTAGAAAAGAGGAGCAAGCAGAAAGAAATAATAAAAATCAGAGCAGAAAGCAACGAACATGAGGAAAAGAAAACAAAAAAATAATCAACAAAACCAAAACCTAGTTCTTTGGGAAAAAAATGAATAAAACTGATAAATCTCTAGCCAAGATAACTAAGAGAGAAAACAAATGACCAATATTAGAAATGAAAGGAGTCATAACTGATCCACAGATACTGACAAAGTAATACAGGAATACCATGAATAACTTTAACTCGATGACTGTGAGAAAAGATCTTATCTGAGGAATGCAAGTATTTTTAACTACCAGGCCCAAAGAGACATTAAAATGAGACCGAAATCACGCCATACCTCCCCTCACCAACCCACCTCCTCTGAGTTGTGTATTCACCTCTTGAAACTGCTTGTTATTGCCGTAAGTAGCTACGAATTAACCTAATAATGCTATAATTCACAATCTATAGCTTCACAACATATAGCCAATAACTCAATGCTACGTCTGGAAACCAGTGAGAACTCCTGACAAGCAACTCTTTATTAGTTCATTCCTTGTCCCCCACAATTTGGCCTTTAAAAATCCACTTACTTATAACTGCTGCTAGGAAGTGTGTGTATTCAGGGCAACTTGAGTCTATGCTCCTGGGTTGCAATCCTCAGGCTCTGCCCAAATAAACTCTCTACTTACAATAATTTTGCTTCAGCTTATTTCAGGTTGACACCCACAAATTTGATAACTTAGATGAAACAGACCAAGTCCTCAAAAAGACAAATTGCCAAAACCCACACAAGGAGAAACAAAAGACTTTAATAATCTTATATTCATTATTCATTAAAGAAATGGAATCAAAAATTAATAACCTTTCCAAAAGAAAAAAAAACCCAGGCTCAGATTATTTGACTAGTGAATTCTACCAAACATTTAAGGAAAACATCATACAATTCAGAAAACACAGGCAGAGAAGACTAACTCATTCCATGAGGCCAAAAGTGCCCTAATACCAAAACCAGCTACATATAATCCAAGAAAGGAAAACTACAGACTAATACCTCTTATAAACATAGAAAGTAAAAATCCTCAACAAAATATTAGCAAGTCAAATCCAACAATGTCTAAAAACAATCATACACCTTGATTTAATCCAGATATGCAAAGGTAGTTCAACATTTAAGAATCAACTGAGAATAATGGACCTCCTCTTGGCCAAGCGGACCCTGGAGAAACCTTGGAAGCTGAGTTCAGGTCACACACCTGTTACAGGTAGTTAGACAGGTATGTGGGGGCAGGAGAGGACTCTCTCCCACCCACTAGAGATGTCTGGTGATGGTTCAGCAATTATCACACTACCTTTCTAAACGTGATCAATTGGCAGCAGGGGCCAGAGGGAGGACATTTCCTGATGGTCCACACCTGTTACACTCAAGCGTTAACTGAATGCAGGCACTAGGGAGAAGCAAAAATGGCTTCCAATAAAATCTCAGGTGTTGGATGAGTGAGCCGGGCACGCATTAAGAGACAAAATGGCTGAGTATGACCTTCCAGGGGCACCCCACAGGAAAAGGGAAGAAAGCCTCAGATGGACGTGCAGACAACTTCCTAAACACGCCGCTCGTGCTCACTTCCCAAGTGTAAGGAGGGCACTGTATATGCAGGTAGCCCACCCTAAGGAGAATCATGGGAAAAGTGTGCAAGACACTGGAAGTGGGTCAGCCTGTGAAGTCCCAGGATCACGGTTAAACACTGCATTTACCCTTCACATGCCCGCTTGGGTCTTTCCCAAGCATACTTTCTTTCCTGCTCTAAAGACTTTTTGAAAAAACTTTCACTACTTCTCTGAAACTTGCCTCAGTCTCTTTTTCTTCCTTATGCCCATCAGTCAAATGCTTTCTTCTCAGGAGGCAAGAAACGAGATTGCTGCAGACCCGTACAAATTCGCCACTGCTAACTTTTGGATACCTTCCACCAGTAACACACCCTTCGATATACCCCTATCTCACTAACCTCCATTAGGCTTTCTTCCCCAGGAGATAAACAGAAACCGGCTCTCCAAAAGACTCCACACTGATAATGCCGATTACTAGCTTATCTTCCCAGGTACAGAATAAAGACAAGATGAGACTAATTATTCTGATACAATGACAGGGGCAGGAGGCAGAGAAATTCTAGGCAGACAGGAGCAGGTCCCTGGCAAAACCCCACGTTCAAGCAGAAAAACCTGAAACGCACAGCCCAAAGTGAGAACTTCCAAACCTGTGTGCCCGCTCTCTCCTAACTGGTTCTTTCTGAACGTCTTGTTACCTACCAATGTCTTGTTGTCTTTTCCAAAACTACCTACAGCCCGGCCCCATCCTGTGCCTATAAAGACTCCAGACTCAGCTGACAGAGCGGAGAAGTGGCTGGGCGTCAGTGAAATCAGCTGGACATCGAGAGGCACCTTGACTTAGGGACGATGGCTGGATGAGGCAGAGAGGCAACTTAATTTCAGGGGAGAGCAACCTGCCCTTTTCAGCCCCTTTCCAGCTCCTCGCCCCGCTGAGAGGCTTTCATCACTCAATAAAATTCTCCATATTCACCATCCTTCAATCGTCTGCATGACCTCATCCCTCTTGAGCACTGGACAAGAATTCAGGAGGTGCCAGTGCGCGTCCCCACAAAGGCTGTCCCTCTGGCTCTTTACCCTCACTGGCGGAGGGCAGCCACCCCACGCGACTAGCCAAAGGGTCCACTGAGCGGGTAACGCTGCTGTCTGCAGATGGCGGAGCTCAGGCAGCACTGCATCACGGCCTCTGGGGCCTTGGGGTCGCAGGCACCCCCACCTGGATGCCGCCACAGGGCCTGCACGGAGTTTGCTCCAGCTTGCGGGAAAGCAGCCGGTTCCTGCACTCACTCGCGTGCGCGCTTTCTCCCATGACGGGTGGAGCACAGCGGACAGACTTTGCTCCTGCTGGCGGCACCAAAGCGGCTGGCCGGTTCCCACGCTCATTTGCTCACATGCTCCCTCCCGTGAGGGGTTGAGTGGGGCAGGCCGAGTAAACAGGGCACCCCTGTCGCAAGTCCTGGGAAGGGGTCAAGAAAATATCCTGCATCAGTTCTTCCATCCCTCCCTGAGGTATCTGCTTCCTCTGTTCCCTTTTCCTTCAAAGGTTCATCTTATCTTGTGTAAAATATACATTTACCAGGCACTAAAACCTCACAAGTATATAAGTATTCCTGTCACTAAACCTCCTGAGAACCAAAAAACCAGCCACCGGTTATCACAATCAATGTAACCCACCATATCAACAGGCTAAAGAAATAATATGATCATATGAATTGATGGAGCAAAAGCCTGACAAAATCTAACACCTATTCCCAACACCTACTCATGATTAAAAACAAGCTTCTCAGCAAACTTGGAGGGGAACTTATTCAACCTGATAAAGAACAGCTACAACAAACCTATTGCTAAACTCATGCATACTTAATGGTGGGAGGCTGGACACTCACCCATGGCTGGGAACAAGGCAAAGATGACAGACAACCTCTACCACCACCCTGATCCAACATCACACTGCAAGTCCTGGCTAGTGCAACAAGGCAAGAACAAAAATTTTAAAAGTACACCGATTGGAAAGGAAGATGAAAAACTTTTTATTGCATGTAGTAAGACTGTCTATGTAGAACATCCAAAAGAATCTATTAAAAGACTCCTAGAACTAATACGCAAGTACAGTGATTTTACAAGATCAAATATATAAGTTAACTGTCTATAGATACTAGCAATGATACATAAGAATTTGAAGTTAAAAAATACCATTTATATAATAATATACTCTCCAAAAATACTTAGGTAGTATAAACAAAATATGTATGAGACCTATATAAGGAATTCTGTTTTCTTTCAAACTCTGAAAGAAATCAAAGGTCTAAATAAATGGAGAGACAGTCTACATTCACAGATAGAAAGACTCACTACTGTTAAGATACCAGTTTTTGTCAATATGATCTACAGATTCAACAATAATATCCGAATCAAAATCCTAGAAAACTGTTTCTTATATCAACAACCTGATTCCAAAGTTTACATGGAAAGCTAAAATACTCAGAACAGCCAACAAAATACTGGAGAAGAACAAGGACTGACATTTGTTAGTAGACTCACATTATTAGACTTCACCAAAAAGCAGCATCTGTGAAAGAAAAAATTGGTAAGGTGGACTTCACTAAAAATAAAAAACATCTGCTCTGCAACAGATACTGCTAGGAGAATGAAAAGACAAGTCACTAAGCAGAAAATATTTGTAAAACACGTATAGGACAAAGGACTTGTATCCCATACAGTCACATATCGCATAGCTTCAGTTTCAGCCAGCAATGGACAGCATAAAAGACGGTGCCGTAAGCTAACAGAGCGGAAAAACTCCCATTGCTTAGTGACATCATATTCATGTGTTTGTGGTGATGACAGTGGAGGCAGAAGACAGTCATACTGATGATCCTGCCCCTGGGTAGGCCCAGGTTAATGTGTGTTTGTGCCTTCATTTTTAACAAAAACTTTAAAAAATAAAATAAAAGTAAAAACGTTAATAGGCAAAAGCTTATAAGGATAAAAACAAAGGTAAGCTAAGGTTTATTAGTAAAGAAATTTTTAAAAATAAACTTAGTGTAGCCTAAGTGTACGGTGTTTATAAAGTCCACAGTAGCATACAGTAATGTCCTAGGCCTTCACACTCACTCACTCACTCACCCAGAGCAACTTCCAGTACTGCAAGCTCCAATTCATGGTAAGTACCCTGGTACAGGTGTATCATCTTTTATACTGTATTTTTACTGTACCTTTTCCCCATTTAGGTATGTTTAGACACAAAAATATTTACACTGTGTTACAACTGCTTACAGTATTCAGTGCTGTGCTGTACAGGTGTGTGGTCTAGGAGCAACAGGCTGTACCGTCTCGGTTTGTGTAAGTACACTCTGTGATGTTCTCACAACGACAAAACGGCCTAACTATGCATTTCTCAGACCACATCTCTGTTAAGCAGCGTGTGACTGTATACAAAGAACTCTTAAAACTCAACAATAAGAAAACAACCCATTTACAAAATGGGAAAAAGATCTGAACAGAGACCTCATTAAGATCTACGGATGGCAAAAAACACAGAAAAAGATGTTCAACGCCACATCATTAGAAAACTGCAAATTAAAAACAGTAAGACGCTACCACAAACTCATTACAATGCCTAAAATCCAAACACATCACCAAATGCTGGTGAGAGTGAAGCAACAGGAACTCTCACTCGTTGTTGGTGCGAATGCAAAACGGTGCAGCCACTTTGGAAGAGAGTTTAATAGGTTCTTAAAAAGATAAACATACTCTTACCATACAATCCAACAACTGGCCAGGCATGCTGGCACACACCTGTAATCCCAGTTACTGAGGAGGCTGAGGCACAAGAATCGCTTGAACCTGGGAGGTGGATGATGCAGCCTGGGAGACAGAGAGAGACTCTGTCTCAAAAAAAAAAAAAAAGAAAATCCAACAGTCAAGTTCTATTTACCCACATGAACTGAAAACTTACGCACCAAAAAAACCTGCACGTGAATGTTTAAAGCAGCTTTATTCATAATTGCCAAAACTTAGACGCAACCAAGGTGTCCTTCAATAGGCGAATGGATAAACAAATTGTGGCACCTTCATACAAACAGAACATTATTCAGTAATAAAAAATGCGCTATTAAGCCATGAAAAGACATAGAGGAACTTTAAATGCATATTGCTACATCAAAGAAGCCAGCTTAAACAGGTTATTCTGGGCCGGGCGCGGTGGCTCACGCCTGTAATCCCAGCACTTTGGGAGGCCGAGACGGGCGGATCAAGAGGTCAGAAGATCGAGACCATCCTGGCTAACACGGTGAAACCCCAT